AACTGCAGGACCAACAACTGCCGGACCAACAACCACTCTAACCGTTGCACGTAACGCTTGTAAGTATAAGCAATTTCTCTGAAACTCACACCCGTGATTTTTGAGTAAGATTTACAATTCATACAGTACCTTCTTGATAATGGTACTGAAGATAGTAACTACAACAATGTTGATCACTGGAGATTAGATGGATTGTTCATTTTCATTTGAAATGTAAACGCGCGCTCACACACACACACACACACACACACACACACACACACACACACACACACACACACACATATATATATATATATATATGTATGTATGTATGTATATATATGTATGTGTATATATGTGTGTATGTTACTATGTATGTTTACAATTTAAGTTGAAATACACTATAACTGAAATGAAAAAAAGGTCTTTATCGAGGTTACCGACCTTCCACAGCATTGGAAGGCTTTAATATTTATTGTTAAAAGGGAATGGAATGAAATGTATTCATTGGCTCAAAGTTATCTGGGTTAGCACACAAATAAATTTCAACATATTGCCTTTACACCATATTTTTAAGTTGGCGTCTAAAAGTTATTATGTAAATATAAAAATAGATATTATATCAATAGACTTATGTGATACTTTACTTCCTTCTCCAGTGTTAGGGAAAACCTGTCGCGATAGGCTCCTTGATTTGGAAAAACAACTCAACCAGTCTCTGGCCGAAGGTGGGGAAGTATTGACTAACATCTCTAATATTTTCGACGCATCCAATCCAGAGTTGTCAGCTAATCTGTCAGCTGAACTTACCAAAGTATCAACCGAACTTCAGGAGCTCTTTAACAGAACAAGCGAAATAACACTGTTGGTCAATGAAACCACAGAAAACCTTGATCCATCGGTGTCCTGTCCGGCCGATGAGTATCAAGAGGTGTTAGATAATATGACGACTAAGAACTCGGAACTAAAAAATATTCACGATCAGATAGCGACCCTACCATCGGGTAGAAAAAGGGTCTCAGTCGTGATCAAACTTTGGCTCCGTTTCACTTTTAGACTGTGTGTGGGTGCACAGCAAATACTCATAACGGTCTACGTAAGAGTAACGATAGTATTTTCGCAAATTGATTCGGGGCAAGTAACAGTTCCTGGTCTACCTGTCGGACCAACAACTGTCGGACCAACAACTGTCGGACCAACAACTGCAGGACCAACAACTGCAGGACCAACAACTGCAGGACCAACAACTGCAGGACCAACAACTGCAGGACCAACAACTGCACCAACAACTGCAGGACCAACTGCAGGACCAACAACTGCAGGGACCAACAACTGCTGAGGACCAACTGCAACCAACAACTGCAGACCAACAACTGCTGACCAACTGCAGGACCAACAACTGCAGGACCAACAACTGTGGACCAACAACTGCCCAACAACTGCAGGACCAACAACTGCAGGACCAACAACCACCGTACCAACAACCATTTCTGAATCACCAGGTATATGTAAGTATGAACTGTGAATGTTTTCTTTTGTTTACTAATGTTCTCTAAAATCCAATAATTCATTATAATATATCCTCCACTTTCTACATGGTTATAGAAGTCTGCGAAATACCTCTAAATCTGACACCATCACCGCCGTAAAGTATTGTCGGTTTCCCAGCTGCTTTCATTTGCGTGTGCAGTTACAGTAGGACTGTCTCTTTTCACAAGACAAGGATTTTCTTTTTGAATTGGAAATCAGATATGCGAGCCATCTTCAGCAATAAAAAAGTTTTGACATCTTGAAATGAAGGATTGGGTTGCAGAGGGGAATTAAATCCCTTTCTAATATACGGCTGAAACCAGTTAAGAGGAACATGAGTTAACCAAGGGCAGGTTTGTATCCTCTAAAGTTTTTCCATAACCAAAAGAACTAGTTCCTTCAAAATGAAAGATTATTGCTTGCATACTTGAAAACTGATCTGTTAATCTAAACATACTAACGTCACATGATCTTGCAATTGATAAATATGACTTTTATCAGCAACAACTGAAAATTATGATGGAACTTCTCTTCAGTAATTGACCGCGACTGGCAGAACCTGTTCAACTGTCAACAGGAATGCATTTCTGAAGCGGAACATCACAATGACAGCGAAATACATTATGCATTAAAATTATTAACTGTAGAAATAGGTTCGGCCTGCTACAATTATGACCAAATATGCATATTATGTTATGAAAATTACAATTTCATATTAAAGACAGAGTAGATTTACCAAATAAATTTTGTTTTGTAAAACTCAAATCTTTCTGTTCTCTGCAAAAGCCACATACAAAAAATAAAAACAAAGAAGGCGTATAATAGCTTGACTGAATAAACAAAGGAGAAATTTTGAAAATAACACATTAAATATAACGGTTATGTAACAAAAAGTTAAATTTAGTACTGTCATGTAAGATAAAGTAAATCAGTTACACTAAAATGCCACAGGCATCACGTTTTGCATTGCAATAAACTTGATATAAAA